AAATCAGTATCAATGTTATGGCTATTGAAGTGGATGAAACCTATTTTAAAGGATGAAGTCTAACAGAGCAAAGGTGAAACAAGGACATTAGGTATTTGGGAGAAGGGGTTGAAAGACAGGTGCTGGCAGGTGTTTTTTTCAGCCAATTGCACATAATACATCATCAACACTACTTCCTGCAATTGAAGAACAAATTTTACCAGGAACAAATAATTTCATATGGTTGTTTGCCATATAGTGATATCTCCCAAATACCCATTAAAAATTACAGACATTCTGTAAGGATGCACATGGAAAACTTTGTCCACCCCCTTGATTATTATGTGTGGGGCACAGTTGAGCAAGAGACCAATAAAACTCCTTGTAACACCAAAGATGAACTGAAGGCAAGGATTATGGCAGCATCCAGCAACTTAAACAAGGAGACTGTCCAAAAGAATTTCAGGAGATTCCACAGTCATCTGGAGGGCATGGTTGAAGCCAATGGGAATTTTATTGATTAAATTTACTCTTTAGTATTTCAAGATATTTTTGTATAATTTTGATAAATATATTTGTTAAAATGAAATGTCAGTGTTAAATTAATTTTTGCTTAATTTAGATGACAATTTATCCATCGCACCCTGTGTGTGTGTGTGTGTGTGTGTGTGTGTGTGTGTGTGTGTGTGTGTGTGTGTGTGTGTGTGCCATAAAGTCTGGGTATTTTAGGGTGATCAAAATACCCATTGGTCTGCCGCAAAACACACAAATCTTTGCATTCCTGTGTAACCTAATATATATATATATATATATATATATATATATATATATATATATATATATATATATTTAAATTCCCAGATGAATTCTGTGTCAAGAAAGATTGGTATCAAATGACAATTGGAAAAAAATCTTACATTTTACCGACATGTTTCATCTTCCGACTTTTTCAAGGCAAAAATGAAATCGAAATGTTTTTGTTGTTATAGTTACATTAAAAATCCAAATTTAAAAAGATAGACGCTTCTGTCTAAGCCTTTTTTACTGGTTAATGTAAATTACTTTTATAGTAGGGGATTATTATCATGTTTTTTTTTAAGGGATTATTATTATTTTTTTCCCATCTGGGAATTAAACTATATTGTCGACATGGAAAAAAAAAATAATAATAATGCTCTCTCCCAAAAATAGTAACAAAGTTCACTCACCATAGTTGCAATATAAATCATATATTGGTTTGGTTGAAAAAACATAAATGTGCCTGAGCAAGTGTCTGCAACAGGATTTAACTATCCTCCTAGCAGCCAATCATTATATATATATATATATATATATATATATATATATATATATATATATATATATATACATTTAGATAGATAGATAGATAATGAAAGGAATACAAAGATTTTGAAAAGTTTTATTCCTGTGTTTTTGCACTTATCAACCTTTTAAACAAGCAAATAAATTTAGTTTGACACATGTTTACTTCCTGAAAAAAAAAGAATTTTTTTTCATTACTACAGACAGTAGGATTCTTTACCAGGAAATAACATGTAAATGACAACAGACGATGTCAAAGCAGCATTCATATATAATATATCAAAAATAGTATAAACTAAAAAAAGCCCATAAAAGGCTGGATCATGCAAATATGTTGAGTTATTCTAAATTTAACTAAACGATTCTTATCAAGCCTCTTCTAAGATATTTAGATCAATTGGTAGATGATGGCTTTGAACAAATGTTTATGAAAAATATATGTCTAAATTTCTAGGATGAGGAGTTATCATTATTTACACTATTTACATTTTGACTATTGTCCTTATCTTTGTTGTTATCAAACCAAGTAACCTGCATGGAATTCCAAACTGAACCCTTTATTTAATCTACAGTTCTCATATCTAGGGATATCTGGTCTAGTTCTTTTTTTTTGTACTGCTCAGTTATTACTTACCCCATTTCCACTGAGTTCAAGTACACACGGCCTGGCTCAGGGATTGATCTCACAAATACTATGTCAATTAATTCACAAACCAACACTTTAATTCACTATTTTCTATTGTGCCATAGGACAATTCTCTGTGGAACCATAAATCTAACCTACCTGCCTGCTGATGAGTGCTGCTGCTGCTTGTCATATTTGACTGCACTCACTAAAGATTTTCTGTTTTGTTACAGCTGCTGCTGAAGACTTGCTGTCATTTTCTTTCTTTCTTTATTAGCAACTCCTGTATTGTATTTATTTCTATGCTAGGTCTATTAAGGAGTTCCTCATAGCCAAGCATATGCACTGATTCATTTATATGTATAACTCTCCAGTGTTCTTCTTTGTGCAGTATTTTTACTTTATTCCACAGGTGCTGATGTTATATCCTTTCACTTCATACATGATCGGCCATGCCCAATTTCATTATCATATACCTTACAACGGCTTTTCAATGTTTCTCCAGCCTTATTTTTAGGGATACTGAGAATTCTATGGACAGATTTCATAAGCAACAAAAGTCTTGCAATTATATTCAGAATCAGAAAGAGATAGCTAAATATTCTGTGACATATAATGAGCAAGTAAGATTTAGAAAATTTGACACTCACAGGGCATATTGAAGGCAAGTGATTGTAGTGGGCCACCCCTCCCTGATGTGCTTGTGTGCATGAATGACAGAATGGAAGGTGTGAGATTTGTCAAAGGGACAAATGTTGGTAAGAGTTAAAACGGACAGGAGGTTGTGGAGAGTCATGATCACCCAAGTCCTGAAAGTAAAAGAAGAACATTCTCTTCTTTATTCTATATTTGGGATATCTATTCACTTGAATAAGCTTTTCTAACTGTAGCTAACAAAAACCATTTTTAGTTTATTTTACAATAACGGTTGTTTCTATTGATGGTTGTTAGAGTGAAAATAAAATTTCTGGCTTTGGACAGAAATACCTTTTCTTTTGTAGCAAGATCCTCTCAAGCAATTCCACATTTTGAATTTGCAAACATATTTTTTATTGGTTATTTTTAGCTGTTTCCATATTTCAGATATTTTAAACAAATGTCTTTTAGTATTGAGAATTTTAGAAAATTAGCTTTAGAAAAAAACAGTATAAAAATAAAATAAAACAGCATTCCTGAGATGAGGTATTATGTACACTATTTACATTATTCGGACTATTGTCCTCATCTTTGTTACCATAATTATTATAGCATTTTGGCCGTTTTACACCCCGGCCTTCTTCAGGTGGTTGGAATGTTAAACTGAACCCTTTATTTTGCTCACTGGGGTAGACTGTTCTAGTTCCACGTGCCATGTTTAATGGATGTCAGTTATCAGTTATCTCCTGTTAACTTTCCTCTGAAAGTTCTCCACTGCCTTAACCAGATATTGAACTCACACTCTTTGGGTCCTGTCACAGGATCTAATTAACGCCTTTATCCAGTGTGCCATGTGTGTATGAATTTCTGTGTATGACATCTGTGTATGAATTTCTGGGTATTATAAACCTAATGTCTTCAGCCAGCATTTTTTTTACCAGTGCTCATATTGCAATTTTTGCTGTTATCATTATATGTTTTTACCAGAGCTCATACAGAAATTTTTGTTATTATTATCACTTTTCTCTGGCACTCCTTATTACTGGTTCCCATATTGTATTCATTTCTATGCTTGGTTGGCTCAGGAGAGTTTTGTGGTCTAGCATATGTGCTGATTCCTTTACAAATTTTCCAATGTTGTTCTTTGTCTATGATCTCAACCTGATCCCACAGAGGTTGTGTTGTTTGTATTTACTTTTTGTACACTAACAACACACTTCAGAATGGGATCACACATGTATCGACAGGATGAGGGCTTAGTAATGACATTCCAACCACATGAAGAAGGCCTGAACGTACAACGGCCGAAATGTTGTAATAAATATGGCGACAAAAATGAGGACAATAGTCCAAATAATGTAAATAGTGAGTATAATCAGAATAAAAAAAAATCTTTGGAAAGTATTCATAAGTGGCTGTAAATATCATATGAGCAACCACTTTTCTTTTCAGTTGACAATTTTGATCTTGACAGGTGTAATATGATTTTCTGCTTTCATGGGAATAATTTATTGTTTTTTAATTAATATTTGTTTTTATTGCCTTAATTGCATTTTTAAAAGAAGTCTTAGAAATATGATGGCAGATGAGAATAAATTCATTCTAGTTTCTAATTAACCAAATTAATTAATATTTTTATGAACAGCCATGAAAAGTTTAAGAAAACATTCTTTGTTAACAGGCTAAGTATAAAAATTACTTCAAAATTTGAACAAATATGATACTGACTAAACATTTTTCTGCTTTCCACAATGTTCAAATTTAACTTCATACAAAAAAATAAAATAATTTTTGCTTCTTTGTATGTAACTTTAAAATATATATATATAGCCAGAAAACCAATAAACTGCATTGTATGCAAGTATAAAAAATAGTTAACTAAAATAAATAAATTACAAATAATGAATTATTTTGTTACATTGATTGACATATTCATTCTTAACATTAATTAATGATCATGAATGTCGTTTCGTTTTTTATAGAAGACCTGATTGCAGAAACAAAAAAACAAATATTGATACACACCACTTTTTTGTTAAAAAAACAATGTTTTATTAACAAAAAAAGCGAGCTTTTGGTGCGTATATCAATATATCTGTTTGGTGGTTTATAAACATTTAAATTTTAAATCTTTATAAACCACCAATCATTGAACTAGTGATCTATTTTGTGTGCGCGTGCGGGGTGGGGGTGGAAGAAAAGTTCAAATAAAAATAAAGTAAAACACCTTTTTATGCATGTATCGGAGAGGAAGATTCTCTCTCTGACCGACACACACATGTAAAATGGACAGAAGCATACTTAGGCGAACAAACACACGGACACACACCACTACTAGGGTCTAACTTTGGGAGTTAATCACTAACAGTGGTTTAATGACAATAGGGGCAATTTTTTTGTGTCTCTTGCTATTGTTTAAATAACTTCCCTTTCCCGAATGTTTCGAAAAGCAATACTGTCTTTCTTTTCCGTCCTGGAGAGAAAAAAAAAGAAAAAGAAAACTGAAGACGAGTTACGCACATCAGGGGTCAAAAGAAATAGAATATCCAAGTAAGCAAGTAAGTCACAAAATAAAATAAAATTAAAAATAAGAAAAATAGCTGCATAAAAAATGTAAGGGATGATAGAAGGGATTTTTTGTTTGTATGTAGGGACAAGAGAAGTCCGCAAAAACTAAAAAAAGGGGTGGGAAAAAAAAATGAAAAAAACAAAAACATGAAAATTAAAAACAAATGCTAATAATTTTATTTTTATGAAAGCTTTTTTGTGTGAGAGAAAAGGAAAATTTAAAAATTGTTTTTTTTTTTATTTCATTATCTTCGTAGAAAAATTTAAAATGGCTTAAAAATATAAAAGTAAAAAAAGCTATATAAAAAAACAGTAAGTTTTTTTACTTTTTAAACTAAAAAGTGAAAGTTTGCATTGGAGTGGTGTTAAGAGAGAGAGAAATAAACTAGCTATTTAAATCACGGGAGAATTATCAATTAAATTAATTAAGTAATTTAAAAATTTAGCTCTCTCCCTGTTTCTTTCTATGACACGCTTGAGAATTAAACTAAAAAAAAAATGAGCAACTATTTTAAATGAGATTGTGAAGAGAAGAAAAAATTAAATGTGCAGAAGAAAGGAAAAAGAAAGGGTGAAAAAAAAAAACAAGTTTGAGAAAGATGAAGTTGCTGAATTTGGAAAGAGAGAGAGAGAGAGAGGGTTGGGAGTGAATAATTTTAAAATAGTTCTTAAAATTTTTAAAAGGTGGAGTGGAGTTTTTGAGTTTTGACAAAGCTAAAAAATGGAATTAAAACTGTAACAGAAAAGAATGTAAGGAATTAGGAGGGTCACAAATCAAAGTTAATTAATGAGAGAACAACGGATTTACAAAAAAAAACCCTAAAAAAACATTTAATTGAAAGAGAGGGACTGATTAAAGTGTGAATGGGGAAATAACTAAAAGACAATAAACAATTCTAAAGAAATAAAAAAGAAAAGGAGCGTAGCCAGATCACGTTGCTGCTGGGTGTGAGAGATGAAAGGGAAAGAAAAAAAGTATTATGGGGGTATATAGAAAAAGGAAAGAAAGAGACGTAAAATAAGAAATAAAAAAGAGGAAATAAGACAGAGTCGGAGGGAATAGTGAGAGATGAGAGCGAGTGGCAACAGTGTTATAGACTGAGTAAATGAGTGGGAGTAAAAGTAACACATAGAGTAAGATTAAGAGGAAAGTAAGGTTTTGAGGGAGTAGGAGGAGCACGCCCACTGACGCCACACAAAATACAAGTTTCGCTTGCCAAATACCCGGATCAAAAAAATGGCGTCGCTATTGATCATCTAGCTCCCAGCAACAAAGTGGAATTTATTTCTTGAACGGACCAATATCTTAAGGTAAGTTTTATGAAATTATTACTACGATAATTGTTTTTGGTTTCAATTTTAGCCCAGAACCGCTAGCTCTATTCTTTTCTGTCAGAACGGGAGAGTAAAAGTTAGCTATTTATTTGCAGGTATGTGTCAACTTGGAGAAAAATGTAAACGTGTTTATTGTTTGTGTGTGTTTTAGGTTGTTGAATTGTACTTTTTTCTGTTTTGTAATTTTGGGCAAATATTTTGCTTTTGTTTCGCAACTAAGAGTCTATTTTAAAATGTCCAGAAATCTGGTCTTTGTACGCATTTCCAATAAAAACTGAGGTAATTAGTAAATTCACTAACAACATTACTTGTAAAAAGCAGTTTATCTTTAAGAATAGTAGTACCGGGTTTTCAATAAAATATATCTACGGATGACCATAAGTAAAGGAAAGAGAAAATAGTAAAACTTTTTTTATCGACTTGTTTAAAAAATGGAACAGATTCTTGTGTAAATTGTTTAGATAACATTATTTAAAAAAATATTTTAGTACTTTATATTAAACTTGTCAATATTTTATTGGAATGTTTTAATTGTTTATGGTTAGTTCGGTCATCCATAGAAAATTATCCAGGTTCCCCCATCTCGTGTACGTTTGTTGTTAAGGAGTTCCAAGCAGAGACATTTTCATTGTGGATAGTTGGATGGATTGCTTTTTATAGGTGTAAAAAGCAACTGACAAGCCAATCTAGCTGTTAAGAGTCTGTCCATCCCATTAAAAGTAAACTTTTATTTATCTTTCTCTAGTAAAGTGTACCTGCCGTCACTTGTCAGTCAATGTTTCAACCACTAGTGTTGACATTCATTACTTTTATTTATTTATTTTTTTTTAGTCCATGTGTTTTTCTCTTGATTTGTTTGAATTCGAAGTGTTAAAAAGTTTTGTTATATCAGTTCAAAAGCTTTATTTTATTTTTCATAATTTTTGTGAATATCCACTGACCATTACGGCGATCAGCTAGTAAATTAATTCAATGATTCCTGCAGGTGTCTTCCCGAAAAAAATAAAGGCGGGGGGACAGCAACCACCGCCCTCTTTTTCTTTTCTTTTTTTTTTTTTTTTTTTTTTTTTAATATTTCTTAAATCTGGGATGACATGGATATTTTTATTCCTGTTTTGTTGAGAAAATCAAACAGATTTTCTTTCTTTTTTAAAAAAATTTGGTACTAATTAGAAATTATTAGGAAAATTAAAATATCAAGAAAAGCTTAAAGAAAAAAATGTTTTGTTTTTTTTTCTTCTTTAACTACTAATTTTTAACAAAATTATTAAACTAAAACCCTATTTTTTTCTCAGATGGGTAAACAAAACTCAAGGGTAATGTTTTCCCTAGTATTGTACAACTACTAGTTTGTGTTTAGTAAATTTATTGGCCTAGTTACTTCCAGTTTAATTTATTCTACCGGAAAATGTTATTCATATAAAATTAAAAACTAAACTAAAACTTTATCTTTTCTGTGATTTCTCTTTCTTTCGGCTCAACGGACCATGATAATTTTAAAAACTCTACGAGATCGTCAGTATGACGAAAAAAACTAAAAAGTAACTCGCAATTAACTTTATGAAAATAGCATTTCTTTAAGTTTAATTTTTTTTTTTTATTATTTATTCCTAGATAACCAAAAAATGAAGGGAAATTAACTTTGCTATCTGATCAAAGTTTTTTTAGTAATGTTTGTCATTTCTGTGTTCACCCACCCCTAATTTTCCTTCAATTTTGTTTTTTCAAGTGACATTTTTCACCTGTGCTGGTCTTCCTGCTTCACACCTATGTCTATAATCTTGCATTATTTACTTGAATTTGTCTAAAGTAGTAAATATAGTTTTTGCTTTTCGAATAAAAATGGTGTTAAGTTAAAACAGACACCCGTTTGTTCTGAATGTATTATTGTCGGGTTTTTTCTTTTCAGTACTTACAAAAATGAAACAGATTATTAGTCGATTTTTTTCTTTTAAAAGAAAACGTCTCTTCACTACTAATCCCTATTTCTATATATGACCCTATTTATAAAATGTTGATTTGACTGTCAGTCACACACAATTTCCTACACCACTTTTGTGGTTGTAGGAAAAACAGCAGCAGTAGCTCAACGTTTTTAGATTTTTTAATTGTATTGACCCTATTTAAAAACAACACCCTCTTCGTCTTCTCTTTTTTATGAACTTTTTTTTTTTAATTAGAGGAAACCTATCCAGTTTTAATTTGAAAATTCTCTTTGTTTACACACTTTTTGGTTTTATTTTTTCATCAAGTCCCTCTACTTTAAAAAAATTTGTCGCATTTTTGTCGTCATGCGATGAAACAGGTTGTCTACGACTTACACCTGAGATCTGTTGGCTTACACATGTGAGAACCACCTCCACTAGTCTTATTGGTTAATTTTTTGTCTAGTGTCTTCTTGGCCTTTAATAGCTAGTGTTATACTAGTAAATGTTGTGGTCACCTACACAGTACCTGACGGGTAAATTGTACAGGTGAGCTGACGCGACTGTAGGTGAAAATAGGACTTTTGAATCTCTTATTTCGTTCTTACTCCTTTAACTTATTAGAACTGTTAGTGTTGTTATATGACAACAGTTCAACTGTCAAGTTCAACTCCTCCCTTCCTCTTTGGTTTCTTTTTTCTTTTCTTTTCTTTTTTAAACGCTTTACTTTTCTATGTGTTGTTACACAAGTTTGATGAGGAATCTCGACACGTGAGGAATTTAGAATAGAAAAGTTCAACGCACTTATTGTCACATACACAAAAAATACTTATTTGATTTAATTGTAAAGCCTACATTCCTTATTGTTTAACAAACACTCACTTTTTGTTTTGTTTTATCCAAAAAATAAAATGCAACTAACTCAATCAAATCAAAAATATCGTCATTAGAAAAAAAAAAAACGGTTATCTACCAACCCAGAACATGTACAAAAAACACGACGGACTTCAAACTTTTTTTAAAAAAAAGATTTAGTGATTCTGTTTACAAAGAGAATAAGAGCAAATTGGAAGTTTTTCATTTTTCAGTTACGTTTACCTTTCAAAATTGTGACCTTGTATTTTTAAGTGTCAACAAAGTAGTGACGGCCAGACTGCGCTGAGATACAAGCTTGCTATGGCGGAGGACATCCAAAGTTATTTGTTTACAACACACCAATGAAGCGCTTTGGATGTTTCAAATGTGAGAATAAAAATAAATCTGTATAGACTTCAATTCTGACATTAAATTAACGTTCAGGAATTTTTTTTCTGATAGATCTAATGATAAAAAACAGAAAATTTCAAAGTCGCTTTTTTTTTTTTTTTTTAAACCGGTCAGTACTCGAGACAGGGCGATGAGGTGTTTCTAGGCAAACTGCTTTGAACATGGCTTTTTTTTTCTTTTTCTTTTTTTGTCTAGGAGTATATTTGTCACATGGGCAGATTTTAAGGTCGCCCAGACAGTCTACATCTCTTTGAAGTATAAGAAGACTGTCAGTTGCTCACAGCAATAAATATGAAGACACCAACCAGTTCTAATTATTGTTGACATTTTTTTAAAATTTTATTGCATATCCAAGAAAGGTGGTTTGGAAATGTGGTTGAGAAGACAAAAATGTTGAAAGTACATTCGTTTGTGTTTTAAAAGATAATTGGATTCATTTCAGGATAGACTTTTTTTAAATTAAAAATATTTCAAAAATATCCTGGCATGCTTTTAAAATTTCATTTATCTCTGAACCTATTTTCCTTTTATGATAGATCCTTTTAAAATAATTTTACCATAAATTGATAAAGTAATTTTTTTATATTCTATCTCCAAAAATCCAATCAACATAATTTTTCCTTACATTTTAATCTTTATAAATTTAAAGCTCATTACTTTTTTTTTTTTACTGACTTCATGTTCAAACATAGTAGATAGCAATTTAATTAATGTCTGGTATTTGTATTTCTAAAAAAATTATCATTTAATTAAGTTTTTTTTTTTCTTTGTAAAATTCGCTATCAAATTCCAATATAAAATTTTGTGTGTGTTGTTATAAAGAAAAATGATCCTGAAAGCTTAAACTTTCTTACTGCTGATATCACTGATTTCAAATGTGTTGTCTTCTGTTTCATTAAGAACATTGCTCGTGCTGCACTTAAAAGAATGCATAATAATTTCAGTTCTTACATTTTCCCAAACATTTATTCACTTACCCGCTCACACTTGTTCCAATGAGGAACTGCTTCATTCTTCCTATAGATTTGAAGTGATGATTTGGATCTCCCATCCAACGTTATTGCATGTTTGGTAAATGGCTTATCACAGATACATCTAAAGGTCGCGGTAGGCTTGTCAGACCACTAGGAATGACAGTTAACTGGATTTTCAATTCTTCCACCTTTTTAATGGTGTTTATTCTATAGGCTCTAAATTGATCTTGAACCAGAAGCGGCTTTTAATAGTCCCATAGGACAACTTGTGTAACCACAGATTTCATTCAGGCTTTACGCTTTTTGGATGGCATGACCCAGAAGTTTATGAACAATTGAACTGCTTTTGTATACTGTCCTGATGTCGTATTGCAAATTCTGAAAATTTTTGCTGAATTAGAACAATTTACCACCATTGATTGAATAAAATTCTGATAAAGTTACAATGATAGACACCTGGGGAAAAAAAAAGCATAACCAAGACATTCTTACTGGGATAAATGGTAAGGCATAATAAGGATAATTCATCATCTCAAATTGCAACATCAATGTAGTCAGTAAAAATAACTAAATCAATGAGACTTGATTTTCTTACTATTGGAAATTGTTAGTTTTAAATTTACATATGCAATTAGTCACTACTTTTTTTTTTTTTTTTTTTTTTTAAATGGCATGTCATACAGTTATTTGTTTGATCACTTTGAAATTAAAGTGCATTTGCTTTTATTAAGTCATTAAAAATTATAAAATTCTAATTATTTTTACTGATTCTTTTTATAGTGATTTTTTTTTTTTTTTTTTTTTTTTTTAA